GGACATTCTGATACAAAGGAAAAGACAGGAAAGACCTTGACACTCCAAAGTTAACATCACTGTATTTAGGAAAAATTAAAATAAACTGGTTAAAATGTTTATAGCAATTGTGATAGTATAAGCTTATCTCTTCATGAAGAGCTCATAAAAAATGCAAAGTACAATGATTTCACTTAATAAAGAGGCAATGAACTAAAACTGGACAATTAACTAAAAAAGTATCACTAGGCCGGGCGCGGTGGCTCAAGCCTGTAATCCCAGCACTTTGGGAGGCCGAGGCGGGTGGATCACGAGGTCAACAGATCGAGACCATCTTGGTCAACATGGTGAAACCCCGTCTCTACTAAAATTACAAAAAATTAGCTGGGCACGGTGGTGCGTGCCTGTAATCCCAGCTACTCAGGAGGCTGAGGCAGGAGAATTGCCTTAACCCAGGAGGCGGAGGTTGCGGTGAGCCGAGATCGCGCCATTGCACTCCAGCCTGGGTAACAAGAGCGAAACTCCGTCTCAAAAAAAAAAAAAGTATCACTAGTTAATAATTACAGAGAAAGTGCCTAAACTGTAATAATCAAACGAATTCAGATTTTAAAAAATAAAACTTTTTTTTTTTTGCTACCAAACTAGCAATAATTTCTATTTAAATGTGTAATATACTGGTTAGTGAAATAACTAGTTTTGTGTATCACAGGGATATATATACAAATATAACTTTTGGTAATTATTCATAAAGACTCAACATAGTTCAAATATTTCAGCTTAATAATTCTATTTTGGGGGAATTTATTCTAAGGAAAAATCCTAAAATTTACACACAAAATTATTAATTGTAGTATCAGTTTTAAGATCAAAATTTTGGAAAAAATCAGCACAGTAGGGTCAACTTACTCTAAGGACTGTGTAGTTATTTTAAAATTATGTTTGAAATGACCATATAACAACATGGAAATGCTTATGAGAGTAATATAAAAGCACTGTTGGTGTATAAAAGTATTAAGGTGTCCAACTTAATTGGCAATGGGAAATCATTCAAATGCAAAGAGATATCACTCTGCACCCACCAAACTGGCTAAAATTAAATAGAAAATACCACTGTTGATAAGGATGTAATACCATGAGAAACCCTCACACGTGGCTTATCAGAATGTAAGCTGATACAATTGCTTATTTGACAGTACCTAATGAAGTTGAAGACATGCATACCCAGTGACCCAGCAATTTCACACATAGATATAGAGCCCAGAGAAGCCCCTGCATGTGAGCACCAGAGTACAAGGATGTGCAAGAATGCCCACGGCATCAGTGATTGGGATAGCCTGACACTGGCAATGCCCATATCCAGTTGAATGGATAAGTTGTGGATTACTCGTGCTAAAAGACAGACATAATAAAATGAACACATGAGAGCTAAACATCACAGGATAGATTATTTTCACCAACACAATATTGAGTGAAAGAAGTGAGTCAAAATAATTTGTGTTTATGATTCCATTTATTCAAAGTTCAAAAATTAATGGAATGCAGCTATCTTGTTAAGCTGTTATATAAAAAGTGGTTAAACTACAAAGAAATTCAAAGATCTGATTAAGATAACAGTTACCTCTGGTATGAAGGAGGAGCTGTGAGGCAGAAGATTCTAGGAAAATGGAAGGATTTTCTGGGTCTAAGAGTGTCTGATATCAAGACCAAGGATGTGATTAGATGGTGATGGCTTTGCAATAATTAAAAAAGCTGTACATATATATGAATTATGCGTGCCCCCCTCCCCAACAAAAATACGTTCAAGCTCTAATCTCCAATACCTCAGCACGTGAATTTATTTAGAAATAGGGTTGCCGGAGATGTAATTACTTAAGTTATGTTAAAATCATACTAGAGTAAAGTTGTTCCCCGTTGCAGTTGCAGTATGACTGATGTTCTTATAAGAAGATGACCATGTGGAGACATAAATGAGACAGCCAAGTATAATGGGGTCCCCAGACACCCTCCGGCCAGTCTGCACATTGGGAGAATGGAAGCTGGGTGGAGCTATGGAAGTTCCTGCCGTTTGCAGCAGGGAGCAAGCCCGGCCTCTCCTGTTCCTGGGTGGTAACCTGGGATTCAGTCTGTGAAATGGGGGCCTGTTAACAGGAACCCCTCTCACTTTGCTGAGAGTCTTTTTCCTTTTTGTCCATAAGTTCCATAATCCCTCAACCTTCAAAGTGTCTGAGTCCCTAAATTATCCTGGTCATATGACAAGAACCTGGATTTACCTACAACACAGAGACACAGAGAGAATGCCATGTGAAGCTGGAGGCAGAGCCTGGAGTGATGGGTCTACAAGCTAAGGACTGCCGGCCGTCACCAGAAGGTAGGAGAGATGTATGAAGCAGATTCTCCTCCAAAGCCTTTGGAAGAAACCAACCCTTGACACTTTTGTTTTGGACTTCTAGTCTCCAAAGGTGTGCGAAAATAGATTGCTGTTGTGTTAAGCTACCCAGTGTGTGGTATTTTGTTACGGCAGCTCCAGGAAATGAATACATTGTATTTTCACATTAAAATATATTTCAAAGTTCCCAAGAATTTATGTTTCTAATCTCAAAAATTTATTGAATAAATCACAAAATCTAAAATAAAAAAGTAATCAAATTATCCTACTTCACTGATTCCCTGGAAAAGTTACACTGAAGACAGAATTCAAGTATAAAAATAAGAAGCTCCTATTCAGAAAAGGAAACCGTGTAGCATATCTAGTTGTACCAAGAGGTCAAAGATCAATTGTAAATGTCCAAGTACATTAAAAAAATAAAGGATGTGGTTTGTTCCAAGTTGGACTATAAGAATTTCATCCTGACCCTTTGATCCTCTTCTTTACTGGAAATTCTCCAGCGTCTGAAAGTGACCCTGCACATAGCTTCTGGGAAGACATTCTCATTCATTCCATTTCACTCCAGAACAAAGAGCTGACCTGAAAGAAGACCTGACCCAGAACTTCTCTAGGGCAGAATACTGATGAACACAGATGGCTTCATGAGAGACAATCTTGGTTACAATTCTTCTTTCTACAAGTTAGGAATACAGTCTCAGGGCTCACAGAGCACTGTGCTCTTAGGTACCTCCCTTGGGGACTGATTTTGTATACGATGTTGAGCATGCTTGTAGGAGTTTTGTCTTTGTCAGAAATGTTCTGTATGATAAGGAGATGCCATAAGTAAGGGCATAAAGGAACAATACATGGTGAATGATTTTTTTTAAGCTAACAAAATGCAATATTATATTTCTACTACTTTCTGGTTTTCATATAGTAAAAGAGAGCAAACTACAGAGAAGTGTTCCTTCAGAAAAGTAGTATGAAGTAGAATCTTGAAGCCACGCTGTCTGTTTTCAAATCTTGATTCACGATGAGGAAGGGGGTCCCAGGTGGGAGAGAGCCCCAAGTGGGGAAGAACAATGAACAGTTGTTCTGAGAAATGGGGAACCACAAACAATGACCTCTTCCTGGCACAATGACCTTTTTCTGTGAGCACAATGACCTCCTTCAGCACAGCAGCTCCCTCCAGCACAACCCTATAAAACTTCTCTCCAATACCACCCCACCTCTACGAAGCCCCTTCTCTGCTGGGCTGCCTGTTGCCACCTTGCAACATATTTTCATACTTTCTCTCATAAATCTGCCTTTCTTTACCTACAACTGTCTTGGTAAATTCCTTTACCATCTGTGACACCTCCAGCTAGTTATACCTGTGACAACGAGCTAGGTGTACTTTTGGCCAATAATTAACCTCTCTAAGTATAAAGTTCTTCATCTGTAAAATTAGGATAAAAACTGCACTACTTCAAAGGGTTGCTGGGAGGATTCAATGAGGCAGTATATGAAAAGCATTTAGCCAAGAATGTTGCACATGGATAAGTGCTTAGTAAATGCTAATTACTAGCATAATAATAATAATAAAAATAAAGTCTCTACAGATTTATACTTGAAGTAGCTATTAAAAATTCCAGTAGAATTAATATTAGTGTTGGCCCTGGAAGGGTCATTTTGTTCACCCCATTAAATTAGGAGAGAAGGAAAATTTCCAATTCTTTAGTTGACCACTTTCACACTTAACATTTCCTATTAGAAAAATAAAATTCGCTTTAATTTTCTAGTCTGTTAAATAATTAAAATAAAAAATTTTCTAGTCTGGATTAAGTAATTTTAAGGTGCTTTCCAAGCACACAAAAAAATTCCTATTTCTAACATCCTTTGTCAACCGTAAATTAAACATTTTGCAGTCTCTGAATTATTTTCTCTCTTTGAGTATTTCTATTATACCAGCTTCTACCCCTTTCAATGGAAAATACGTCCTTTAGGCTAGTTTGGTGACTTGTTGTTTGTGTGTGTATGTGTGTGCGCATGTATGCACGTATATGGTAGTGGTGGTGTGTTCCAAGAAAGTCTCGGAGAGGGACTTTAGTGTGTAACGTACTGTAGTTTAGTCTGTACTGTAATTTCAGCCAAAGGGATGGGCAATTTCCATACCACTAAAGTTTACTTGCATCAATCTTTTATGTTCACCTGCTATGAAAGAGAAAAAAGTATTATTTTGTGGAATATTCAAAACAGTTGATTTTTAAAGAGTCAAAGGTTGTGATATAACTTTTGCTTTTAATGATATTAGCAAACACTGTTATATTGATAAAAGCGATTCAATGTATATAGATATAGAAATCTCTTGGAATTTCCAAATCAAGCTGGGAGTAAGAAGCGAAATTCAGCAAGGTTCCAACCTTCTGGCACGAATCCTTCCTTCTCCTCCCCTGGGTACCTTTGCTAGTTGCCCAGGAGATGGCGCTGTTGCTTCAAGGGAATGGCTTCCATGAGGCCCAGAAATGGAACGTGGGGCAAAGGGGTTGAGGGGTGGGGATAATATATGGCAGTCAGAAGTTAAAAGAGAAGCAATGAGAAAAGTCTTGTTTTGTGAATTTTAGGAATAATGACAAAATATGTTTAAATAGTTGTCTTCCTGAATTTCCCTTTAAAGGGGCGAATGTGAACATGAAGACCAACAACCAAGATGAGGAGACGCCCTTGCACACGGCTGCCCACTTCGGCCTCTCAGAGCTGGTGGCCTTCTACGTGGAGCACGGGGCCGTAGTGGACAGCGTGAATGCCCACATGGAGACGCCCCTGGCCATCGCCGCCTACTGGGCCCTCCGCTTTAAAGAGCAGGAGTACAGCACCGAGCACCACCTCATCTGCCGCATGCTGCTCGACTACAAAGCCGAGGTCAATGCCCGGGATGACGACTTTAAATCTCCCCTCCACAAGGCAGCCTGGAACTGTGACCACGTGCTCATGCACATGATGCTAGAAGCTGGCGCCGAAGCCAATCTCATGGATATCAATGGCTGTGCTGCCATCCAGTATGTACTGAAGGTCACCTCTGTGCGCCCTGCTGCGCAGCCTGAGATCTGCTACCAGCTCCTGTTAAATCACGGGGCAGCCCGAATATACCCTCCACAGTTCCACAAGGTGAGGCTGTGCCCAGTGGTCAGCAGGTTGAGGGAGACTCAAATGGCAGCCCTGTCTGAAATCTCCAAGTCACTCAAGCTTGCTTGAGGCTTGAGTCCCGGGCTAACTACCGCTGGTTACATACCTAACCCTAGCTGTCTCACCATCTCATCCTAGTCTAAGTTTGCTTGAAATCAAGTGTGAGAGCTAGAATGAGAACAAGAGTAGCAGATAATTTTTTATGCCTTATATGAACACCAATGCACTGGTGGCTTCCTGGGGGACTGAGGTACGTCTGCCAGAAAGGTGAATAGTGTTGGACAGACATACACTTGCCATCTTTTAAACAGAATGACTGATCTAAAGGTGACTCCACCTGCTTTGGAATTAGCTTGTAGCCATGAAAGGGCCACCAGATTTTCCAGTTTAATGAAAGCTAACATTTATTAAGTACTAAAATTATATTTATTACATATAATGAATAAGCACACTGTTATAAGCACTTTGTATCTCTTCATTTAATTCTTAACAACAATCCTACAAAGTATATATTATTGTTATTGTCCATATTCTACAGAGGAGGGAACTGAGGCACAGTTAAGTAAGTTAGGTAACTTAACCTGAGCTCCTACAGGGCCTGTGCCAGGATCCAACCTTAGATACTGTCGTTCCAGCATTTGTTCTTAAGATATCACACTGAACAGTTTCTCTTAACAACATTGATAATCTCAAACAAGCTGGTAGGGACCAGTTGCTACCAGTATTGATAGGAATAAGACATGGGTCCTGTCCTCAAGAAGCTTAGAATCTAGCAGATGAGGCAAACAAATAAAGGGCTAATTTTAATATGCTGTGGCAAAGGATAAGGTAGAAGAATGATTGAGTGCTATAGAAACATGGAAGAGAGTGAATTTTGCATACATTTATTGATGGTAATTAATTTGGAGGCCAAAATGCATTTTACCTTAAAATAAATCAAACAGTACCATACCCAGGATTCCCCCTTACTCTAAAAATTTAATTAACAAGAAGCAGAAAAGTTTGAAGTATACAACAGCTTACTAATGTAGGGCCACAGATAGCAAATTAACAGATTTTTTTCCTGAATTCACAGCTTAAGTTCTACCTTTTACCTGGGTAAAATGTCAGGGACTCATCTGAAGTTCTTCAGTATGAAGGTTGTTAGAAAAAAAAGTTCTATTAAGGAATTTAAGGTTGGTGCATTCAGTCAGGGCAAATTCAAGATGGAGAAACCAGAGAACTTTCAAATGAAGATTTGATGGGTTCAGCAACTCCTGTGATCTCAGTAAGGAATTTTCTCTTGGTAATCAGGATGTTATTGGAAGATTAAATCTTTTTTAAGAAAAATTATATATAAATCGCAGAATGTCCTGAACTTTCTAAAAGTTTCTTAGAGAACCCCAAATGATTAAGATGAAAAATAGAATGAGATTAATGTTACAATAACTCTCCCGAGTTGAGCTCTAAATAGGTTTTATAGAGACTACTTGATTTTATTTTTATAATAGACTCTGAGGTAGGCACTGGCATCATTCTCATTTGAAAGGCAATTAAGCTAAAGGTAATAGAGTTAAGATATTTTCATAAAGTCACACAGAGTAAGGGTCAAGTTCAGTCATTTGTTTACTTAACAAATATTTACTAAACACCTCCAAAGTGCCAAGCAGTCTTCTATTTGCTAAAGGTAGAGCAATGAACCAAAGGCCTTCATGAAAGACACTTTCTAGTGGGAGGCAGAAAACAAACAAAACAACAGGAAAATAAATATACTCTGATATATTAGGTGCTATGGAGAAAAAGCAGGCAAAAAAAAAAGAGAATGCCTGATTATGGGTGGTACTTTAATTTGATTAGAAAAAATAAGGATGTGGAGGAACAAGCTATGCAAATACCTGTTGGGAAGGTGGGAAGAGCATTCCAGGCCTAAGGAAAAGCAGGTGCGAGGGTCCTGAGGTAGAAGAGGGCTAAGCATGTTTGAAGGAGAGCAAGGAAGCCAGAGTGGCTGAAGAGGGGTGAGCAAGAGGGAGGTAAGTCCAAGAGGTATATATGTGGGTTGTTTGCAGACCATATATATGGCCTTGTAAGCCGAGGGAATGTTCTTGGTGTTTTGCTCTGCATGAGAGAGGAAGTCACTGAAATATTTTGAGTTGGGAAAAATAAAAGTCTGATTTATATTCTAAAACGATCCTTTTGACTGCCTTTCAGAGAATGACTCTGAGTTGGGGGCAGGCAAAGTTGCAATGATTTAGATGAGAGATGAGGGTAGCTTAGACTCACAGTGGAAATAGTGAGGGTGGTGAGAAGCATGGACTTTGGGGTTAGACAAACTTAGATTCTGCCACTTACCTAAGAGTGTGACTAAATAAACTGCTGAAAGTTCCTGGGCCTCAGTTTCTTCCCCTGCTAATGCGTATACCCTGAATGTATGCCTGGTAATAATATGCAGACTCAGTTCTTCCCCCGAAGGAAGTTAATCTACTCATAGCAATCACAAACATGCTCAAAGCACAGAGGATGGTGCCAAACATTTCTTTTCTTTTTCTCTTGGACTCCTTTCAGTCCTTGCAGAGTCTCTTTCCCAGTTCCTCACTTCAGTCCCATCCTGCATCTATAAACATCTCTCCCTTGGTCTACTTCCATCTTCTTTTCTTATCTACATCTCACTAAGAGCTGGTCATTCTTCACAGTGTAACCTCTAGAAGACAAAAAAAATCTACCTCTGTAATACAGCTCACTTCACAAAGTATAATTTTCTGCATATTAACGTTTAAAGACTATTTTCCTTCCAGAGAAAAGAATGGACAGGGACACAGGGTATGAAGGTCCCAGGAAACATACTCTATCACTTTTTCTATGAATAGTAATAGCCTTCTTGTGAGGTTGTTTTGATAATTAAATGAGGTAGTATTTGAGAAGTGGTTAGCACAGTGCGTGGGCATGGCAACCATTAAACAAATGAGAGCTGTGACTATTATTATCCTTAGACATTCGTTGAGCAGGAGGATTGATGCTCCTGGGCCTGGTTTACTATAGGAGTCTTCCCAACCAGGAGAGACAGTATGTGTGTGAATCCCTGCCCAGAGACTAAATGTTGAGATGTATTCTGAAACTTCCTGTGGAATACAGTAGAGGCATTCAACCCAAGTGTTTCCTTTTCTCCTCCTCTCAACATATGCCCTTGGTCCAGTGTAGGCATCTCCCCAGCTTGCTCTTCTTGGTGGCTCCATCATCCTATAAAGTAGGCATACAATTGTATGTTCCAACCAACTGTATCCATGGTTAGCATTTTCTTATTCAGTTGTTTTGCTCCTTTGAGTTCCTGTACTTTGGCTGTATGCTAAAGAGATTTAGGATAGAGTTGGCTACTGGTAGATGGCTGGTATTACAAACATTTTTGTTGCTACTCAACAGACTGTGTAGGAGAGCTGGCCCGCTTCCAAAGGAAAAGTAAAGAAAAACTATATAATTTACTATGCAGATGCCTCAAAGTGATTTAAAACAGCTACTTCACAGCCCGACTTTCCAAAGAGAAAGTCATCTTTATGACAAATAAATGACTGACTCATTTATCCAGAAGATAAAGTGATTCGTTCTTATGTGGATGGGGAATTCCGTTTCCTTATTTACAAGGAGCAAGGTCAGAGCTGAAGATGCTTTCTTTCAAATACAAAGCATATTTGTAGAGGGTGTATTTCACTGAAAGCCAATGTGTAAATTACATAAGCAGGGGAAAAAAGAATTAGAGGGTCTGCAATTGCTTTCCAGGGCACAAAAGGACATTTGATTTTTTTTTCTCCCAGCATAATTCCAAAGAAAGTGACACCCCAGGGAGCCAGGATTGGGTTTTCTTGTAGGGCAAGGAAGACATTTTTCTAGAGGAGGAAAAGGTAACATGAGGATTTGGGGGAGGCGAGGATGATTTCTGCCATTGAACAATGCTTATGTGAAGCTAGGGTACAGGCAGTTTTCTTTGATCATTAAGTACCTTTCTGAACACAAATATATTGATATGTAAGAGTGGAGGTAACTTGAGAATGTTTCTGCTGAAGTGGCTTACAGATGACATTTGGTTGGGAAGAGTGGCAGAGAGACTTGCCTTGAATCTCTTTTTTAACAGATTGTGTATTAATCCATGCTTTTAAGGGTTGAATGATGAGATGAGGTGTCTAAAGTTCTCTCCAGTAGTTACCACAGTAGAAAGCTTTTTTGTCTAATTGTTCCTCCATGAAGGAAGAATAAAGATGCCAGAGACTCATGAAGGTGAAGCTTACTGAGTATCTTCTGTTTTCTGGGCTGGCAAAGCCAAAAGGAAGCTGTGGCTTCTCTGTTCGGAGTCGACACCAGTCTGCTCTCTCACATTTTCTTTGCTCATGTTTTCATAAGGAAAATTCTGCTAAAATATACCCCACTAATCTCTGTCCCCAGCCTTCTAACTTCACTTAACAGATTGATGAGTTGGGAGGAGGAATTGAGTTAGCTTGCTTAACCTTGGGTCTTGAATCTTGGAGATCCTTGAATTCTCTGTTCATTTATGTGGGAAGCGTCCAGTAATAAACTCTGCCTGCCAGGGAGAGTCCTGCAATTTTGGGGTATTAATTCAGTTTGGAGGTAGAGTGTTAGAAGCTCTGTATGGCCCCCTAACTTAAGATATATAATCTACTGTATCAGTAATGAAGATGATAATTCTGATCCTTGATTGTCATCTTCATTTCATTTTTTAATGGGTCCTACACTAAGAAGGGAAGGTTATTTAGTGAGCCTCTAACACTCTGCATGCTGTGACACCAAGGATCTTAAAGATAGGGACAGGCCAGCCCTACCTACAACTTTGCTCCATCCTTTATCCCCCACAATCTGTTCCTTACCTGTTTCAGTCCACCCAACTCCCAGTAACTTGGCCTTTTAATTCAATCTGGTGGTATTTGATCTGTCTTCATCTCCTTGATATTCATGGCTCCTGTGATAACCTCACTTGGAATGCTTTCTTTCTTTGGTATTTCACTCTGACATGCCTGGTTTTCCTTTGACTTTAGAGTCATGCAGACTTGAGTTTAAATCCTGACTCTATCATTTCCTAGCTAAAGAACCCAGAGGTTAAATTTTCTAAACCTTTGGTCTTAAATCTCTGAAATGGGGATATTTTTGGACCAACCTCATGGGATTGCTCAAAGATTGAGCAAGCTAAACTAAATGAAGATTAAACACTGTCCTTTGCACATAGTAAGTAATTGAAAAATGGTAGCTATTATTTTTTCTTCTTCCTCTCTTGTGCCTATTAGGATTTCTGAAGCTGTTGATAATGATCCTCTACCATTTCCATTTATACCCATTTAGAGTGCTGCTGAGCTTCATGCTTTAGCCAGCACATACTTTGATGGCACATAATCTCTCTATCTTAACCTTCTCATGGGAGCATCTGTTGTATACATTTTGACTGACATGAGGACATTAAAGATGAAATATCCTCCTGCTCATTATCTTTCCATTCCCAGATTAGTATGTTCCTCATTTCTATTGATCAGTGGCACCCCTGTTTGTCTTCTATCTCTGGCTTTTAAGTGGTATTCTTTCCTCCTTCTATCTGCTTAGTATTATGCCCTATACTTGTTCTTTCTCCCAGCTTCAGCCACCCTTCCTTCCCAGCACTAGTGCTGTCGCCAGCCTAGGAGCTGGTTGGTGCCCTTCCCGTCAGCCTCCCCTCTGCTCTCTGCCCTTGATGTACTTGTCTTCTCCTCTGTGCCTTGCTGATGATGCCTAAGAACACTTGATGATCTATGTTAGTCTTTTATTATTTACTGACTTATATTGCTCTCCAACTCTTTGAAATTATTTGTGTCTTTTCAACTAGGTTATAAGCTCCTTAAAGACAAAAAACAGGTCATAAACATCTCAGAATTACTGTCATAGTGCTAAACACAGTGCTCAATAAAGGCTTCCTAATGGAATGGATAGGTTGAATATCACTCCTTGTTAAGAGTGTATAGTAGCCTCTTGTTGCCTGTCAAGTCAATCCCACGCTTTTCTGACTGGCTTCATCTTACCGGCTCTGACCTTTAGCCCTTCCGTGATATGGGCCCTCTATTCAGGTTGACTTCTTTACTGTCAAAACACACAGACACACACACACACACACGCACACGCACACACACACACACACACACACACACACTCTTACTTAGTTGGGTATTAAGATCATAATCTTTCTGTCTCTGTTTTATCTGTGATCCCAAGACATTAGGTCTTTATTACCCTAATGTAATAAAGATGCAATGCTTTATTACATCTTTGTAATATGTAAATGCAATTTTGAAATTGAAAAATGTGATGCAAGACCACCTATGAGGAAGGTGGTCTAGCATCACATTTCCCTATGGAGGGAAAGTCGGTTTATTATCTTTTGCTCAACAACAACCTATTGGTTGAGGTTGAGATGGCCTGGGAAATTAGGAAGAAATTTCTTCGAGGAAAGCTGTTAAGTGCAGAGGCATGTCTCTCTTCTAATGGTGAGGGATGGGCTTCCTCCCTACCTAACACCAAGTGAAAGGGGTTTTAAGGGGAGTCCTCAGAGAGGTTGATTTATGTTTTCTGAAGTTTCAAGGGAAAAATGGGACTGACATGAAACTCATGATGAGAAAATTTAAAAGACAGGACTGTGGCTGGAGCTGCTTATCTGGTGACAATAGAAAGAAAGATGATTAAACTAGGAGTAAGAAGTGCCTTTTATTGGCCACACCAAAAGTTGGTTAAGTGTATAAACATCCATCTAGTTTCATCTCTATGTTAAAGCTAAATCTCTCTGTCTCCTGAAGGAAATTCTGGCCACCTTGACTCAGGTTTCAAGTATTTTTGGTTGGTCAATAAACTGTTAACAGAGTGTGCTAAGAGCTAACTGAATTTCATGTCATCTTTCACTTGTTGGTGAAAGGTAAAATACTAGTAAGTGTGGTTTGGTACCTGACACCAGTCCTCTGCATTATTGGACTGGGAAGATAAATTGGCTCAACTTGCATGTTACCCTGGAGTTTGCTTTACCTTGTGGTCACCAGCAAATCTAAGTTTATTGACTAACATTCAGTTTTTTGATAACATTTTCTGTAGAACTGGAAGAGTTTCCCAGGCAGCTGGAAATGTATTCTGTGTCCAGTCTGTCTCAAAATCACTTCAATTGTGTACAAAGGCAAGGTAATGTTTCAGGTCTCATCTTTTTTGTTAGTGCCTCTTTTTCACCTGGAGGGTGAGAGAAATTGGTCTGATTTTATTAATCTGCCTATCTGCCATAGTGGCAGTGTACTGGAATACTCAAAGTCGTGAGACTTCTCAAAAGCATTTTAGAGTTCCAGGGAGCTTAATTTGTCTGTGAGTTTTTTTAATTTTTTTATTTATTTTTATTTTTTTTAGAGATAGGGTCTTGGTATGTTTCCCAGGATACCCTTGAACCCTTGGGCTCAAGCAATCCTCTTGCCTCAGTTTCCTGAGTAGCTGGGATTACAGGCACATGCTACCAGCCCCAATGGTCTGTGAATTCTTGATGTCTCTGTGAGCAGAATGAATGAACCATATATGTGCATCAAACAAATGAAACTCTGTGCTTCTTCTGCAGGTGATACAGGCCTGCCATTCTTGTCCTAAAGCAATTGAAGTTGTAGTCAATGCCTATGAACACATCAGATGGAACACAAAGTGGAGAAGAGCTATCCCTGATGATGACTTGGAGGTAAATAATTGATTCCCCTCCTGTAGTTTTTACTATCAAGTACTTCCAAATGCTCTAGAAGTATGGAAAATTCTAATAAAATGTTGGTTTTGAGAATGCCTTTAAAGACTATTCAAATACAATGAGACAAAGAGTTACAAAATGCAGGTTTAAGAGAATATTTCCATCAAATATGCAGCACTAAGTTGTGTCTTGGGGAATTCCTCCATTTAAGGGCAAGTTGAATTGAGTATATAAAGGTGGCAGTTTTCCTTTCCTCTCTTGAATTGAGATTAATCAAATGATCACATTTGTGATTGCCTGTATAGCATTTTTACCAGAATATTAAAGTGTTTTGTGTAGATTATTTCATTTAAGTATCGTGAAGCGATTATTAGCAGGAAAGAGTTAAAAATACCCTGTTTTGGGTCATGCAGAAAGCCATGGGCGGAGTCAAGTCCTCACTTGTAGACTTTCAGACTTTGCTACCTTTGTACACAGTCCTTCCCACTGATAACTTCTGGTTCTTGGTTTTAGAAGTAAAAATCTGTCTCTGACACCTGGAGAGGTATCAGGCACAGAGTGCACAGTTTGCTGGTCTTGGAGGTCTGTGGCTTAGGTATAATTGTATTCTGCTGCTTATTAGCTGTGATACATTTACAAGTAACCTAACTTGAGTAAGCTGTGTTAATCTTTCACTTTCATTAAATATCTGAATATATGTATCACACCAAACATAATGAGTTTAAAATTGCTATTTGGTCCAGGCAGTTTACACATGCATATTTTATCTTATTTCCTGGGTTCTCAATTGTAGAATGTTATTTTTCCTCCCCTTTCCTTGTACACCACCTCCTCACTGCTCCCATTTCAATATTATGTTTAATTTTTGCCCCACCAACAGAGACCCTAGGAAGCTGCCATTATGTGTGAAGTAGAGGTTAGTTGCAGCATTGTTGATTTTTATTGATGTCCACTATGGGGACTTGCTGACTTTAATTTGTCTTGCCTTCCTTTTCAGAAATACTGGGATTTTTACCACTCTCTCTTTACTGTGTGCTGTAACTCTCCAAGGACTCTCATGCATTTATCGAGATGTGCCATTAGAAGAATGTTACACAACAGATGTCACAGAGCAATTCCTTTGCTTTCCCTCCCATTGTCATTGAAAAAGTACTTGCTTTTAGAGCCAGAGGGAATTATTTATTAAGCCTTATGAGACAGCAGGTCCCAATCCTAGGTATTTAAGTGGACTCTCTGGGTAGACACAGTTTGCATAAATAATATGGTACTTGGGTTGATTATAACACTTCAGGGATTTCAAAACACTTTACAAACACTATGTCATTAATCCTAGCATATCATTGTATGGGGAAATAAACAAGAAGTAAAGTTAAGGAATTTTCAAAGACAAGGATGTGTTCAGAACACACTAATATAACGGTAATAACTAATACATATAGTGCTTTTACTAAGTGCCTGAAATATTTTTCTAAAACTTTTCATATCTTATCTCATCTGAAATGGGACCCAGGTTTTCTTCCAACCAGTCTAATTCTCTGCCTTATCAGTAATATCTTTACATTCTCATTCAGACAGCCACATAGCAGGCTTTGTGATTGGCCTCTTAAACTTGGTGTCTTCCCCCATTATCCCTTAGCAATAATTACTGTCGCTAGTTTTGCAAACTCCTACTCCCCAAACCAAGCTACTCAAGTTTATTTCAGTGATGAAAGCACATGAGCTTAGTCAAAACAAGGAGATATTGGAGTCAAATTAGGAATGAGAACAAAATATCAGCCCAGTTATTAGTCAAGGATGGACATTTGAACACACATCATTGAGCCGGAGACTGGAGATGCAAAGATGAGTCCCGTGTGACTCCTGCCCTCCAAGATCTCACCATTTAGCTTAGGATCCAGACATACATGCAGGTAACTGCAATATAAAGGGACGGGGCAAGAGTACAGGTGCAGACTCATTTTTAGTGCTTGTCTTTCAGAGTTGTGTTACTGACATGAAGTGTGATTTTTCTTTTAAGCATGAAGATAAGGAGTGAAGGGGTTATGTAAAGTAAAGGGATCTCCTGCTTTTGTTAGTATATTTTAAGTTTTTTTAACATCTAGATAAGTGTGTTATTTGGTTAGTACTATAAGTATGTTATTTGGTTAGACTCCTTGAGAAAAATATTCCACACTCAATGACTCCCATGCATGTGACAAGGAAGTATAGGAAAATAGGGGAAAGAAAGCATGTGAGGGGACTTAGCTGATTACTTTGGTCTTTTTATGTAGCAGACTGACATTTCATAGCATTTTAGCTAAAAGATAAGGAGCACTTTGCTAGTGACAGTGGATTACAAAAAGTAAATAAAGAGAGACTTTTTGAAAATGGTAAAAATTTGAGAAACTTGAGAAGGTAAGTGTGTTAATCAGGCTTGCTAGTTAGAGTATTGCAGAAAGAGAAATGTAGGTGATTAAGCTCTGGGCCTTGTGGTTTATGAGGTCAATTTTGCTTCACTTTTTTATTCTTGCTCATCACTTTTAGTTAAGCTCATTGCCTCTTAGCATCATTTCTTAGAGGTTAAAGCAGAAGTAAATTGCAAACAAATCTGTCAGTCGTGAGTAGGTTTATTTTATGTGTGTAGTTCTCCATCATATTTAACTTTGGATGCTGGAGTGTTGAATAGAGATGATGTCAAATATTCCACTAGGCTTTCATTTAATGTAACTGGTGATCACCTAACTGGTTAATCCCAGTTTAGACTGTGCTTCTGAACTGGGATTCTCTTACCCCTAGGGGTGTGGAGTAAAAGTCATAGGTGGATAGTTTTTTAGTCTTTTAAGTATCAGTTTTACTCAGATATTTTGGGGGAAATATTTTTGTACTAAAACAAGATCTATATCATGGAACAGAATGGTGAATTTGTATGAATTATTCATATAAAGCTTGATCTTTCAAAAAATAGTTTGCTTGCAGCAAGTAGTATTAGAACACATCCTAGAACAGAATGAAATGCATTTTGCAGAAACTTGGACGGAGCTGGAGACCATTATTCTAAGTGAAGTAACTCAGGAGTAGAAAGTGAAATACTGTATGTTCTCACTTATAAGTGGGAGCTAAGTGATGAGGATACAAAGACATACAGATATAATGAACTGTGAGGACGTGTGAGGGGAAGCTTGAGAGAGGGGTGAGGGATCAAAGACTACATACTGGGTATAGTGTACACTCCTCGGGTGACAGGTGCACTAAAATCTCAAAATTCACCGCTAAAGAATTTATCCATGTAATCAAAAACCACCTCTACCCCCCAAAACCATTGCAATCTTAAAAATAGCAATAATTTAAAAAATAAAAAAAAGAACACACTCTGGAGCAATCGGAGGATTGCTTGGTGCCCTGCATCTTAAGGAGAATTCTGGCAGAAAAGCTCATGACGCACTGACTTGGGGCAAGTAAAACTGATGTTGGAGACAAAGGGAGACAAAGGAATAGGATTCCTGTTCCTTCCCCAGGGAATGAAAACTTTTCTTATTCACTTTGCTTGTGCTCAAACACTCATGTTAATCTAGTATAGAATACATGAATACATGGCTACTTGTTTCTAACTGTTTGTTGGTGGATTTAAAATGGTTTTTCCTTATCTTTGAACTTTTATTTAGAGAACACAAATAAAGCTCTTCTGTCTTCTTTCATCTTGTGAGTTGTTTACTTACCCATAAGACACCTTTTCCTAACCCAGCTTTGACTTTTCAGCAACGACACTGAAGAACTCTACACATTTCATCGCTTTTTTTCAACATTTAGAAAGAAAAATAGAATAAGGGATTGTGCCTGTAAATAAATAATGTTTTCAAAAGAAGGTAAGGGTAAATCTGGCCAAAACATTTTAAAACATATACAATGCAGCCTCTTGCTATAAGAACAAGGGTGTTTTAATAATAATAAAGGAATAGTACAGAATTATTCTCTTCTGCCTCTCACCATCTCTGTCCTCCTGGGGTTTTTCATTTTCCTTCATTCTCACTGTCCACTAAACCCTGGGCAAAGCAACAGAAGAAATTATATCCTCAAGATGCCTTTGTTACATTCCGAGAAAACTTTCTGTAAATAGAATCTACTGTTTTGAAGGAAAAAAATCTTTCTTCTGAAACTTACATGAGAGGAAGAATCTTTGATATGAGGGAAAGACCACCTGTCTGGTTTTCTCTCCTTGGGAACGAGACACACTTGTGTTCTATTTTTTAATCATCGAGTGTTATATCTTTACTTTGTCCTTCCATTCTAAACCCAGTGGGTTCTGATAAAAACACAGTAGTTGAACGATCATTGTAGGGGTAAGAAAAGTAACAACCCATTTGCAGTGGGTTATCAATGCTGTGAAAGACAGCTGAGCCTTATGTTTTTATTATTCATCTGATTGTGAAGAACTTACAAAGTTCTAAATTGGTACATTTTCAAAACTTTTTAAAAATGAATCTAACTATTCACCCATTTCCTTAGAAAACACCACAGCTAGTATCTGGAAGGAATTCCTGTCACTTTCTTTAGGAGGATAAGCAGATGCGTTACAGTTAGATGTTCAAAAGTTTGGCTCTTCTGCTGTCTGTCTGGATTCCTATTCAGGCTCCCATCTTTTTTTTGACTCATAAAATAGGGAAAATGGTCCATGCCTCAGTTTTCTCATTTGTAAAATGAGAATAGTCATGGTGCCTACTTCACAGGACTTTTTTTTTTTTTTTAAGACGGGGTTTCACCATGTTGGTCAGGCTGGTCTTGAACTCCTGACCTCAGGAGATCCGCCCGCCTTGGCCTCCAAAGTGCTTGGATTACAGGCGTGAGCCACCACGCCAGGCCCATAGGACTTTTATAGGATTGATTTGAAGGTTAAATCATTTACAGATTAAAACATGCAGAGCAGAACATGACACTCAGTAGCATTTTATTATTATTAATGCCCTTGTTTTTGTAATAATCATTATAATGTAGACAAAGGCTCCCACCAGTGGAGTAGTATATTCTTAGAGTGAAGCTACAGCTGCAGGTGATACATTGTAGATTTCTGTTCACTTTGGAAACTACCGGTGAGCTTGTACTATGTGTCAGGATTTTGATGACAGCTAGGAATCAAGACAAACCAGGTCCCTGACCTTCTTAGGCTTTTTTGAGGTAGGAAGTAGGAATAGAAATTCTCCACTGCATGGAGGATTAGTAAACACTGCAACCAATTAATTTTTGAAACTTTGTATTTTTGTAAGTAGGTTTATCAAAGTTGCAATAATCTATTTTACTATGGAAAAATTTAGACATTGTGTACAGAGCAGATTTCTCAGCTGTTTCCATCCGCAATGGGGGAAACGGAGGAGATTAATTTTGTAGCGAGGTGTAGATTAGCAATGAGATTCCTAGCAGGGAGGGTCATTGGGTATCAGAATGAAGGAACAGAGTGTTGGAGAATTTCATTAATTTATTCTTTCACCTACAAGAATTTATTATCTTAGCTGTGTGTGGTGACACACGCCTATAGTCCCAGCTTCTCTGGAGGCTGAGGCAGGAAAATCACTTCAGCCCGCAAGTTCTAGGTTACAGTGAGCTAAGATCACACCACTAAATTCCAACCTGGGCAACAGAGGGAGACCTTGACTGAAGAAAGAAAGAAGGAAAGAAAGAGAGAAAGAGAGAGAGAGAGAGAGAGAGAGAGAGAGAGAGAGAGAGAGAGAGAGAGAGGAAGAAAGAGAAAGAAAGAAAGAAAGAAAGAAACAAAGAAAAGGAAAGAAAGAGAGAGACTGTATTAGGTATTACTGTCTGAGTAGTTCTGTGATGAATGTGGGAAGAACAAGAGAAGTGTTGTTATCAAGTCATTATAAGATTCATTTTTAGTAGCTTAAGGTTTTGGTTTGTTTTTATTAGAAATAAGGATAAAAATTACACAGTTTTTTTTTAAGATTAGCTGCTATCTAACTGAGCTATTTGGTTGATCAGAAAGGATTTTCAAAACCTACATTTTAGTGATAAATCGCCTTGTTCATGTTTGATCCTATCTGCCATCAATAAAAAACAATGTATAAAATATACCAAAACATCCCCGAGAAGCAGTTTTTTTTGTTTGTTTTGAGACAGAGTCTTGCTCTTTTGCCCAGGCTGGAGTACCATGGCCAAATCTCAGCTCACTACAAGCTCCACCTCCTGGCTTCAAGCAATTCTCCTGCCTCAGCCTCCCAAGTAGCTGGGACTACATATGCCCACCACCACACCTGCCTAATCTTTATATTTTTAGTAGAGGAGGGGTTTCCCCATGTTGGCCAGGCTGGTCTCAAACTCCTAACCTGAAATGGCCCACTCACCCTGACTTTCCAAAGTGCTGGGATTATAGGTGTGAACCACTGTGTCTGGCCAGCAGTTGTTTTTAATATTTTTTTAAAAAGCAACACTAGGTAGTTTAAGTGAGCTTAAATATCTTCTTTACTAATTGTTTTTCTGTTTTCTCAGATAGAGGTGTGCTTCAATGATATTGGATAACCACTGAATATATGCTGAATCCAGTTATGGACACAAAATAGCCACCTTGTATGTAAGACAGCCTGGATTTGTTTTCAGTGCTTATTAAGCATGGAAAAATTGACAAAACAGAACTATCATGCTGGGGTGTGTAAGGCAGCCTCAGATGTAGAAGGTAGGTACTGGGGGCCTTCTCAAGATCCAGGAGCGGAGACACAGGTGCTGAGCGGCACAAAGGCAAACATTCACTCCTTGCTTTGTTCCAGATGTGGTGGAAGCTGAAAGTAATTATTTGACTGACAAGTGGTGGGAACCAATAGAGATCACAATCAATTCGATTCAGGAAGCAAGACATACAAAATGAACTGCCCATTCTCTAAACAAGGATCCTCTCTCTACCCTGCTCTGGCTCTTGGAAGAATGACTTCCATAGACTGCATCAACTGACTCCCTGTTGCCTGGCTTCCTAGAGGGTTCAGTCCAAGGGAAGATCAGCAGAAGATTGGGGCCCTTCCTGGCTCTCTCCCTTCTTAGTCACTTCTTGCTGGTGAGTGAATTTCTTTACCAAGGCCACACCTCCTGTCAGGAGCCACTTTAAATTCCTATTCTCCCTGGGTTATAATAGCTGCTTCCTCCACTTGCTTTCTCAGACCAGGGGTAGTCACAGCTTCCACTGAGTTGCCTGACCCCCCCACCCGGGGTGCTTCATCATGCCTTGCTTGCTTCCTCTACACTACCTACACTTCCACAGATAGCCCTTGATTAGATTCTCTTCAATCACCTGTATTGAGTGTGTCCTCCACTTCCTCTAGGATCTGACTGATGCACACACAAAAAACACTGTGACAAGTCGGTGACAGCTTGGGCGGTGGTCTGGATGGTAGGTGCTATTCGAGTTGAGAACAGATAGAAGCCACTATGGACCTGGGAAGGCAGGTGGACTTGATCTGTGACCTGAAGAGGGGTGGGGTTTAGGTAATTGGGTAACAGTAAGGCCCTGGGGTTTTGGTGGGGGGGAATTTGAAAGTGAGTATCTCTAAAAAAGGGTGAGAGTTGGAATATACAGTGAGTATTCACCACTTTCAGAGTAACTTGACAGACGTAGATGAACATTTGTTGTGTGTGGGGAGCAGAGGATAAGGTTGGAAGGGCTGAGTGGGATGAAATTCTGAAATGTCTCAGAGTGGGGAAGCACCATGGGGAATCAATGAATATTATTATCATCATAATTATACTTCTTCCAACCTTATAATTTTTCCAGCAATAACAATTATGGTACAATCATTTAACATTTACAGGGTATTTCATCATTTTCAGAGTATCATCATGATATTTAAGACCAGGTAATTGCTTTTATCATTACTCTTTTCTTCCATGCCACCCCCACATACAATTCTGATCCTCTAGATCTGAAAAAATATGTAAAAATGACACTAATTAACCCTTCCTTCTCATGTAAAGCACTCCAATCACATGGAATAATTTACTCTTGAGCAAAAAAGGGTATTATAGCCTTACATTTTCTTTTTATCAAAAGCTAAAGATTTTTAAATTGCATTAAAAGAAGAAAGGAATGTTTCTTGCAGGGCATCAGAAAATGACAGAACAGCAAAATTTGGAGGTCTGGGACTGCTTATAGTTCTCAACATGGCAGTGTTCAAGTGATGAGTTATTCACTGAAGCACTGATGTCATTACAGTCCTTCAGGGACCCCAGGTCTCCAAATACTGCTGAAACCAGATGGACAACAAAAGGTCTCTTAGGATGATCCATCAAAGAAAATTCAGACATCAGCAAATTGTTTCTAAGCAACCTCTGGGTAGTTCTATGGCAAAAATACAAAGAACCTGAAAATTATTTACTCCAATTAGCACTGCAGTGTGGCACAAAGAAAAATATATGGATTTTGGAATTCAATGGCTTGAATTTTAATCTTGATTTTTCAATTTAAAATCCATGTGAACTTGGGTCAGTTTCTTAACTCGTGTCAATTTCTTTGCTTAGGTAATGGTGATTAACTACTTGATATTCAGGACTCTTTTGGGAATTTATTTTTTTTTTTTTGAGATGGGGTCTCACTCTATCACGCAGGTTGGAGGGCAGTGGCACAATCTTGGCTCGCTGCAAACTCCACCTCCCAGGTTCAAGCGATTCTGTCATCTCAGCCACCTGAGTAGCTGGGATTACAGGTGCGTGC